CTCTCATTGTTCCTGTGTGAAATGCTCATTTTTTCCAGATTGATTAAACTTAGGCTGTAATCGTTTACTTGTAGTTCTTGATGTGTTATTTGCGTTGATTTTTGTTTAACACACAACTAATTGTCTTGCTGTTACATCTCCAGCATTCGGTGTGCTGCTGTGGGAGATCGCCACCTACGGCATGTCTCCTTACCCCGGCATCGACCTGTCCCAGGTTTACGAGCTGCTGGAGAAAGACTACCGCATGGACCGACCAGAGGGCTGTCCTGAGAAGGTGTATGAGCTCATGACAGCTTGTGAGTACCAAAACACATCCATTTAGATCATGATTAAGTGCACTCTCATTTTGAAAGGACTTTCTGAACAGTTTTTTTTTTCTTGTCAGGTTGGAGGTGGAACCCTTCAGAACGCCCGTCATTTGCAGAAACACACCAAGCCTTCGAGACCATGTTCCAGGAATCCAGCATCTCTGATGGTCAGTGCTGCTTTCTTTTCAGCTTGAGAGACTTTTTTTTTTGCTTGATATTTTCTGATACCTTATCTTGCCTTGTATCTTGTCTGACGGTGGAAATCTCATGTTAACTGCTAAATCCCTCCTGGATTCATAATTTTAGAGGTGGAAAAGGAGTTGGGGAAGAAGGGAAAGAAGGCAACATTAGGCCCCATCCAGCAGGCTCCAGAGTTGCCCACCAAGACCAGAACTCTCCGCAAAAACATGGACAACCGGGATGGAGATAGTCCAGGTGAGATACACTTACACATTGGGCCTTGTAGCCTTGTTGTAAAAGACGATCACAGCTATTCTACGTAAGGGAATAAATGAAATGAACAGCAGGTCCAGGGGCAATATGTGGTACTCAAATTCACATACAAGTACTTGAAAATCTGTACTGCACATATAGAGCTTGGATAAACTTCATATGGATGCTGTGTTCCTCTATTTTCTTTTGAAATAAAGCTTATCTGTTGCATGTTTTTCCTCAATACAAGATACAATTTCCAAGTCAAAGTTCAGTTATGGCTCCTTGATTACCAAGAAATGGCCACGATATTAGACCCAGAAAACCTCATTGGTTGAACCTGTAGCACTGCCTGAATTGTTTGTTCTATAATCAGGTTTCTTTGACTCAGAAAACACGTGTTAACTTAGTCTCTTTTTAAATTTAAACTTTTCTCAGACAGTTCATTCCGTTGTGTTGTTTTTCCCATCTGTGAAAGATTTGTAATTGTGCTTCAATAGTCATTTATTTGTCTTTATCGCTGATGGTTTTCTGGTTCTTTCATGCTCTTCCTCAGACCCAGTGGAGCCAGAGGCAGCCGTGTCGTCCCCCATGCTCCCCAGAAAAGAGCGCGCCCTCCTGGACAGCAACCTGAATGAGGACGAACGCTTACTACCCAAAGACAAGGACAAGACACGTGGCAGTGGTTTTCTCAGCCTCATCAAGAAAAAGAAGAAGAACGCACCGGCTCCGCCCAAACGCAGCTCCTCTTTCAGAGAGATGGACATCCACCCTGACAGGAGGGGTGTGACTCCAGATCCTCGAGACAGTGACAGCTTCAACAACGGTGCATCTTTGGCCATTAATGACAACACACACGGCCTTGACTCAAAGTTCTTGTCTACTAACAACAATGGGGCAGGAGGTATCACAAATGGAGCTCCTAACTACCCAGGACCTTTATTCCCCCGAAAGAAGGGAGCTCCCGCAGTGCCCGGCCCCGGAGGCAAGGCGGCCACAACACCACCCAGTGAGGAGGAGTCCATTTCCAACTCAAAGCGTTTTCTCTGGTCCTCTAGCCTGCCCATTGGCTCAGATGGCACTGAATGGAAATCTGTCACACTGCCACGAGATCTGGGCCAGCGCCACTTTGACTCAGGCACCTTCGGGGGCAAGCCTGCTCTGCCACGAAAGAGGACCAGTGAGCAGAAAGGGGAGAATGCCCCTCGAATGGGCACCCTGACCCCCCCACCACGTCTGAATACATCCTCCGATGTTTCATCTGCCTTCTTAGGCAAAGATACTGATCCCAGTCCTGGTTCCAGCCCCCAGGCGTTGACACCCAAGGTGGTCAAGAGGCCTGGTGTTCCAGGGCTGGAGAACTCCAGGACCAGCGCTCTCCATGCTGAGCTTCTTAAGCCCAATGTGTTCCCTGCTTTGGGGGCAGCTGCAGACGAGTGCAGGGCACGCAGAAACAAGCACACTGTAGATTCCTCATCTGTCAGGGAAAGAGGAAAGTTACAGAAACCCAAGCCAGCCCCACCTCCACCACCCACCAATGCCAAAACGGGCAAGATCTCCCGCAGCCCCACTCAAGAACTCCCCTCCCCCTCATCTACCACCTCAGACATCAAAGCTAAGTGCCTTCCTTCCATCTCAGATCCCCACCACTCTGCCAGTGACCAAGCCCGCTCACCCCACGGTGAGGGCTCTAAGAAGCTGCCCCTGGGCTCCATCTCTAAACCTCAACCATTAAAGACCTCCACATCCTCATCTTCAGTGACCACCTCTCCTTCCAGCCAGAGCCTAGGAGGCTTGTCTTCCTCACACACCTCGCCAAGCGATCAGAGCTCACCCCCTGCGTTCACCCCTCTGGCGAAAACCCGATGCTCCCTCCGCAAGACTGCAACTCGCCAGGCCTCCGAACGCACCCCTAACTCAGCCGTGACACGTGAGATGGTGCTGGATGGTACCGAGCTGCTCCGCGCAGCCATTTTCCGCAACTCGGAGCAAACAGGTAGCCACAGCGCTGTGCTGGAGGCCGGCAAGAACCTGTCAAAGTACTGCATTAGCTACGTTGACTCCATCCAGCAGATGAGGAACAAGTTCGCCTTTCGCGAGGCCATCAACAAGCTCGAGAACAGCTTGCGTGAGCTTCAGATCTGCCCCACTGCCACAGGGGGCTCTAACTCACAGCAGGACTTCAGCAAGCTGCTGTCCTCTGTCAAAGAGATCAGTGACATTGTTCAGAGGTAGCGCCATAGAATCTTAAACTACCGAGACATAAAACTGATGACCTGTATGTTATACTACCCTTTTTTTTCTGAGCATGTGCGTGAACTGTGGCCGAAGCCGAGCTCATGCCGGAGAGCTGAGGGTAAGGCCGCATTGAGAGCAGCACAAGCAGTGTAGGTTCACACTACAGCACGCTCTGAAACACCTAAAGCCTGTGGTTACTACGGATGGACTTAAAGGAAACTTTATGCAGATGCCATCAGAAAGAGTTTGCGACATTAAAAGCCTTAACTATGAATGAACACTGTCATTGGGCCTTAATATGAGGCGAGGGGCCAATTCGTCAACATGACTTTTCACCAATCATTTTTGAAATGATCATGTCTTATGTATTTTTGCTTGTTTTTCCCCCGTTATCACTGACACTAGTATAAAAAAAAACGGTCTGACATTTGTTTCCATCACTCGTAGTGCGTTTGATTTTTTTTCATTGATGTGGACGACAATGAACAAAAACAAAATACTTAACCTCATCTTGTTCTAGGATGCCTTTTAACTCATAAGCAACTGATCTATGTTTTCATTTTTGCCTGTAAGATTGAGGGAGCTTCTCAAATCACAGTTTTTTTAGTAGCCCAACTCATTTGCCTGGCGCATCCCAACACTTTCCATTTCTTTGTATCATGTCATCAGTGGCTGGTTGTGTGCTGAGTGATGAAACGTGTTTGTTTTGTATGGATGCTTTCTGCAGTATTTTGCAACCATGTGCCATAAAGTAATAATGGGAGCAAGCAAAAGAGGCAGAACGAGCTGCTAAGCCTTCACCTTTTTTTTGCTTCTCTGCACACTTTGGTAAAAAAAAAAAAAAAGATAGTGCCTTAAACACTATTGGCAGAGCTGTTTTAGTCTTCACACTTTACATGTGCAGATGTGTGGCTTTGGCTGAATTGTGCCAAGTGGTTAAGAATAGCTGTTTATTGGATATAAATGCTTGCATAACCAAAAAAACCTTTGTCTCCAGTCTGTACTGGAGAGGGACCAGGGTGCACGATCTGCAACTCAGTGGATCTAACTGTTGTTTTATGTTGTCCTTAGACTGGACCTTTTTTTTTTTTTTTTATACGAGTTAAATTTCTCTACGTGCCAGTCACAAAAGCCATCAGTAGCAGCTTGGCCTTGCAGCAGCATGCTGTTTGATCCGCTAAGAGGGGTAACAGACTCAAACAGTGTTTGTCCGACAGGCCTCTCTTGCCAGAGAGAATGGAGGTTTTTTTTATTGTCACATGGTCTAGACGCTGTTTCAGAGGCCTTTCCACCCCAGCAAGAAAAAATATATCCTGGGGGAAACACTGGACTGAAATGATGAAATACATGTCAATAGAGTGTGACTATCTGTAGACTATAAGAAACCCTTAAATTCCACTGTAACATCAGACGTTCCTTTTTTTTCCATTTGCATCTCTTCTCAGTGTTTGTGCTGTAGCGATCTCATCACGTGTGCCCTGTCTGACTGCGATGCCTGAGGACAAAAGTCAACCGCTAGCTGCCTTGACTTCAACATGGTACTTTCAGCGTTGGCTCTTTTTTAAAAATAAAGAATTCCTCCCCACCCGTACCGACCATACCACTACTCTACTTCTGTGTGTAAACATCCTCACCATTTTTTTTTTGTAGACTTTGCTTTCATGTGTAAATGTGTTTCTTTTTGTTTCTCCCTCTAGCCTTTTTGTGCAATTTTTGTTGCAATAAAATACAAAGCAGTTGTTCTACTTGAAATACAATCGAGTCTGGTGCTTTTTCCAGCATGTACCGTTCTGTCACTATGTGAAAGCCATGACAGGATTTTGAACTAATCGCAGCAACATTTTCTCAACTTCTTTACAAACACAAAAAAAAGAAGACACACAGCAACAGGTTATGTATAATTTATTTTTTCTGTCTAGAGTATTTTGTCATTAAAATCAAAATGTCAACATTTTAAAATCATATACACGCAAGAACGCATTTAAATGTTAGCACAGCTCCTTAAAAATTTATACATATGTACGTTTTTTTTTTTTTGTACTTGTGGACAGACAAAAGCAGGAAGTGGTCACTCAGACTGCAAAAGAGGTGGGACACAGGAAAAAGGAAGACCCAGCCCACCCACTTCCCACAATAACAAACCAATCCCCACTCCCCAAAAAAGTTAAGACAGCGATGCAGGCCCCTCCCATAAAGAGGAGCGACGATGGGGTGGGAAAAAGAAAAACAGAATATCAACATAAAAGTGCCCCATCCTCCACTCCGTACAGAAATGAGAGGATTCGAGGTTTGCAGACATAAATACTAGTTTGCACATCATCTCAATCCACTTCCTCTCCCCTCAAACAATCGGCAGGTTCAGTAGTGTGCAGACGGGGTGGTTGGGTGGCGGGGGGGGTGTCTGTCCTTTACATACATTTATTAATAGAAACTATGTTACAGAATTTCCCAAGCATGAATTACAGGCAACCCACTAGCACACCGACTGTACAGATCTTGGCAGAGCCACCAAATAAATTTCTAAATCCAAAGTACAGTAGCGAGGTCATCACCAGTAGTTAAGAAGCAATATATACAGCTGTCCAATCAGGGAATCACTATGGTACAGAAAAGAAATCGTACTTGAAGGAAAGAGAAACTATTTGATTTTTGCCATTTTCTTGTTTTTTCGGGGGGGTGGGGGTGTGGGGTGGGGGGGCATGCTGCTTGGTGTTGTATTATGGGATGGCAGAGGAACAACTGCCCAAATGAACAAGAAATCAGCTCTTCAGTGCGTTTTAATCGAGATAAAGGAGTGTTTGTTTCTACACCCTAATAGTCAAGACGCGGGTGTAGGACCATGCTGCTGATACTGGGCCATGTGAGATATTCTGGCCACGTGAACCACCTCTTCTATTGTTGTTATTTACCAGTAAAATGCGAGAATTATTCTAAAAAAAAAAGAGTTGATTTATTGAATCAAGGTGAATCCAACAGCAGTGTGAAGAGCAAGTGCAGCAAAAACAATGATTAAAGAGTAATAACATTAATTATAATAAGGCAACAAACAATGACAAAGAAAATGCTGGTAAAGACAGAATCCGTTGATATGATGGATGGGAGGGTGAGTGGGTGAGTGGGTGGGTGAGGAGGAGGTGGGGGGGGGGAGCTGGTGCAAAGAAACTGATTTAAATGAATCTTTTCATCAAAAACGGAAAAGACGTGTTTTTCTTTGTTAAAGTGTCATTTTTAACTTAGTCGAAAGTCGCCCGTCCACCTTCCTAACACACAAACACACACTCACACACACACACAGATAAGCTGGAAAACACCCAGTATTCCTTCCTGTGATATTCCAGCAGAGAGACTGGGGGAATTACCCAAAAGGAATTTGTGGGTAATTCCTGCTTTTCTAAATTTTCCCTCCCTCCCCTTTTTTCTCTCCGTCTCTCCTGAGAACATCGGTATTGCCACATCTGGCAAAGGAATTTGCTTTGTGCCAAGCGGCGAAAAGAAGTGAATTAAAAAGCCACGAGCAGGTATTCGCTGAAAAACGCTCACTCAGCTTCACATTCCCGGACACGCGGTTCAGAGCCTCTACCTGTGCGGCTGCATGATGCGCTACTTCATTGCCTTCGCTGTCTGCTCCCACACGAATCAAACGGGAGCGAGATCTCGCGCCCGCGTCGTCTCCGTATAATGCTGGAATCGTAAACCATGCGGGAGAGGCGAAGGGGAGTTCGTGATTAGAATTTAGATCCGATTTACACAGCTGATCAGTGGTGGATGAAACTTAATTGCAGTGTTTACATTTCATATATAGCTATAAAAACCAAACATAAAAAAAAAACAGTCTCGGTTTATCATATCGTGTGAACATTACATCTATCTAAAGTGTCAGTGACCAGTTTAATGAGTGGTGGCATCTACGATACTATGATGGAGGGGAGCTAGACTGAATGGTGCGAGAGGATCGGAGGGGAGCGAGAGAGGAGAGTTATGGGACGACGACACACCGACAGAGTTTAAAGAGGAGGAGTGAGACGGCAACGAAGGGAGACAAGACAGGCAGAGAGGAAGAGGAGGAGGAAGAGGAGGAGGTGGGGGAGATGTAGTCCACACAGCCCAGCTCAGTCTGGCCCAAGTTGATATTTGCCCCCCGTTCCTTCGCTCCGCAGCCCTGCTCTCATGCAGCTCCTGGTGCAGTGAGGGATGAACGTACGGAGGTGGCGGAATGGATGGTAGGGGGTTGGTTGAGGAGGGGGCGGGCAGGACAGACAGAGGAAGGGAGAGAGGAAGGGAGGGCAAAAGGGGCTTTTGCTTGGTCATTAGCAGCCGCAGCCTTCCCTCTGGGGCTGTGGTTCGCTGGTTAGCCGGCCGCCCTGAGGGGCCGAGGGCTTATGCTGGACCCCCGACTCGGCGGCGTTCAGGTCCAGGCTGCCATCTTGGATATTCTGGTAGATCTTCTTAGCAGCTTCCAGGAAGGCGTCCTCGACGTTTTCGCCTCTGAAAACGGGCGTGAGAGAGGAGGCAAACGAGAGTTAAAGAATGCAGGCTGAGGAATAGTTTATGCGCTGCAGGCACTGAAACGCTGAAGTTGTGCAGACTTACGTTTTTGCGCTGGCCTCCAGGAACAACAAACCTGCACAACATAAAACAGACACGATGACGGAGTCGCTGAAACATTGTTCCAAGCTCACATACTTCAAATACCGAGTCCTCATTCGCCCCCGCTTTCAATTAATATCTCTTCACAGTTCTTTCCCCAAGTCTCCTACTTGAAGTCACTATCTAAACGATGTAAACAGTCCAGGATGGTAATCTAACTTCTGTCTCCTCAAATCAACCGTGAGGGTCTCTATTATAAACAGTGAACAGAACAGAGGGTCAAACTCATTTCTATTCTAAATATTTGGACATTTCCTTGGGATCCCTGTGAGTATTGTTTTGTTGAAAGTGAGAAACAGTCTTTGCAGATACAGAGTTTGTGTGTCTTTTTTTGTTTTTGTTCATATCTGAAGTGAGACAGTTTCCCATCAAGTATATTCCTGACTTGTCATCTTGCACCGTTTGGCTCACCGTTCTCCTCAGCAAACTGCTTTGCTTCCTCGTACGTGACGTCCCTCTGGGCCTCCAAGTCTGCTTTGTTTCCTATGAGAATAATCACCTGAAGACACAGACACATGAAGAGCCAGCGTGAGACAATTCCCGTGACAGCAGAGTGCCTCTGGGGCAAATGTGCTTTTCTGAGCCTCCAAGAGTTAATAAAGCTGAAGGGAACGTAGGAGGACTGGAGCACACTGCTGAGTCGTCTGTTAGGAGAGTTGATTGAGAGATACACTGAGGAACACACTAGACAGAGCCCCTAGCAACCGTGATGTAATTAGACCTGTAATGTACTGATGTAATGAGCTTCCTTCTTGGAAAAAAGCGACTCCAGTTGAACTGCTGCATGTTCACTGTGAACTATTCAAGTATGTTTTTTCCCTCCTGTTATATTTCAGAAGTTGTCCGAGTGGTGCTCAATGTATTAGCAACTTATGATGACCAAC